AACAGATGGAAATCCCACATAAATACATATGTGTTACAGAATGTTACATGTATCTCTGGATCTAAATATAATTGTTTTGTAAAAAACTAAAATGCAGTAGTTCAGAATAAATGCAATGTGGCTGTATATACTTGAAGAGGAGTTGTATTCCAACAAACTGTAATTGTTGTAGGGCAGAAAAGAAGTTCATCCGTTGTGCTTCAATACTAGCTGTTGATTGAAGTAAATGTACCGCTTTCTTCAAGTCGATCGTGATGTCGTTAAACAGCCGGATATTAAAACTGGTTTTAGGAGATACAAGTTCTTCCACATAGCATTCAGCAACACACCAATCATTAAATGATCAATTTTTTTCCTTCTTATATCCGTATATTTATTTTTATTATTATACTTTTTCTGAACACAGCAGTTCATATAAAGCATCGCGAAGCAGCAAGCTGGCGGTGTTTACAAGGCGTATTTGAAATTTTCCCCTAATTGAAGAGCTTTACTCGGAAGTGATCTTGGTGCGCTGCAATGCATTGTACTATCTTGACACCAGTATACAGTTCGCAAATGAATACACCTTTGAACAATTCAAAAGTTCCTTGGACAGGTGAAAAGCTGTCCTTGCCAAGGTGAAAATGAACAAAATGAACAAAAGTATGGATTCAATTGTGACGTACTACACACCATTATCCCGTCATCAGAACTGTGGGCGTTGGTGCGCGTCTTCTTGAAATGTAAAGCGTCTTGTAAACAAGAAAGTCCTAGACCGTGATTGCCTTATAGGTAAAGCATATTATTTACAGTTTCCATAGTGGATTTAAGCCAAGAACGGACCCCAAAATAACTTTGCCGGGGTGTCTGCAGTGCAGCAGAAGAAACCTACGGCAGCATTTGCGAACTCCTCTTTACTGATCTGACCATCACCATCTGTATCCAAGGCTTCAAACGACGGAGGCACAGATAGCGGGTGTACGCCAAAAAGGCCCAGAAACTCTTCATATTCCTTTCTGGTCACAATACCGTCACCATTTTTGTCTGCGATTTTTTCAAAATAGACATAGAACCACTTTTTCTCCTTTTCTTGAAAAGCTGGTTCGCCAAAAGTGCGTGCGTGGTTGTGGACACAGTCCCAAAAAGTAACATTCACTTTCTTCTCCGGACCGGCCCAGAAATAATCCCAAGCATAGTTCACTAGGCCCATGTACGTTTCCAGTTGTTCTTGATTAAGTTGGTACTTTGCTCTAGCATTGCAAATATCCATATAATCTTCCTTTTTGACTACACCATCCAAGTCGCGGTCAAAAATTACAAAAAATGAGCGCATTTTACGGACCCAAAACTCGGGATATGGGGCGCTTGCTGACATTGTGGATGTCTCCTGTGTACTGAAGACAAGACAGTTCGTTGAAAATTAAATTTGAATTTAGAGACGTTTTAACCATGGTTCTAATGTGGTTTTAATGATTATAATGTCAGCAAAAGGGTAACACACTTAACGTCATAGTGTCCTTTCATTTACTCATGGCTGCCTCAGACAACTTTCAATGGTGTTATGCATGCAAAGCGGTACAGTCCAATATACCTGTAACATGACGCATGATCCGATAAATACGTGATGCTCTTAAGACACTGGTTAGACTGAGTTGCAGCCCAGCATCTCCCTTTTAAATCCCAGGTCATTTATAGTAACAAGAAACATTAAATGGCACCCAACTTCTCTCATTGTCATTTAAAAAAATATTAAACTCCTTTTCCCACCCTCCCCCTCCCCCTTAAGTTGCAAAGAATGTATGACAAACTGGGCCTCCCTTAACAAAAACAATTGAACGTGTTTTAATGTCATAAACAACCAAGATACTGAATTTTCTTTAAGTAAATCTCAGAACATTTAAGGACACTACTGGAAGTTCTATACATGTAAGACCAATTTGTCACATAGAACAGTGATAAAAGGTCAATTTTCTCTGGCCCGATGTGACTGGAATGGTAGTCCACTGGGAACCGTACTCCGTTCCCTATCACTTTGTACGTGTGGCAATCTAACCCCAATACTGCACAGCACTGGTACCACAGGGTTCTTGAAAAGTAAAACATCTTTTTAACATGAAAGTCCTAGATAGCAATTGCAACACGGGTGAAGCATATTATTTACAGTGATTTACAGATATTATTTTATGATTAGAGGATTTAAGCCAAGAACGGACCCCAAAACAACTTTGCCGGGGTGTCTTCAGTGCAGCAGAAAAAAAAACCGACGGCAGCATTCGCAAACTCTTCATTGCTGATCTTACCATCACCAACTGTGTCTAAGGCTTCAAAGGATGGAGGGACAGATAACGGGTATACGCCAACAAGACCAAAGAACTGTTCATATTCCTTCCTGGTCACAATACCGTCACTATTTTTGTCTGCGATTTTGTCGAAATAGACATAGAACCACTTTTTCTACTCTTCTTGAAAAGCTGGTTCGCCAAAAGTGCGTGCGTGGTTGTGGACACAGTCCCAAAAAGTAACAATCACTTTCTTCTCCGGACGTTTTTTTTATTTTGTCCTTAAACGTTTGCAGTTGTTTTTGCTTAAGAAGACGCTATGCTTTAGCGATGGAAAAGTCAACAAAATATTTGTCGTGGTCCAACATTACAAAAGGTGAGTGCATTTTGCGGACCCAAAACTCGGGATATGGCTCGCTGGCTGACATTGTGGCTGTCCCCCGTACAATGCAGACAAGACGGTTCGTTGAAAATTTAAATAGACGTTTTAACCTTGGTACCTTGTGATTTCAATGACAATAATGTCAGCAAAAGAGTAACAACTTAACGCCTAAATGTTGTTTAAACCCCCTTCACACTGGACGGCGTCCTTTCTGCGTTCAGCAGTATGGCTCCATTTGAGAGTTAAAAAATAATAATACTTTACGTGCTGACAACTGGCCGATCATTGAGCATTCTTTCTAAAACAAATCAATACTCGTGTCTCCTTATTGAAACCACAGCGATACCAATTTCATGGTGGCAGAGAGGGCGCAGAAAGGACGCCGTCCAGTGTAAAGGGGTATTACGCATGGTTGCCTCAGACAACCTTCAACGGTGTTATCCATGCACAGCAGCACAGTACAATGATTGGTCGTAATATAACACCTGTAACAAGACGTATGGTCCGGTGAATACATAATGGAACCTTAATGACACAACACATATTAAAGAGTCTGGTGGGACTGTTGTTCAGCTTAGCATTTTTATCTGATTCTCCTAGGTCAGTCGTAAACACAAGAAGAATCTCTGTTTTTCTGAATATTTACCCTCCCCCCCTCCAACACACAAACACTAACAGCACATTTGCAAAGTGTATACATGAAAAAATAACGGTGTATCCCGGAAACTAAACAAGTGATCGCATTTTAATGTTATAAACGGACAATATACTGCCACCTGTTTACGACTATCTCAGAACATTTTAAAGGCAACACTGGAGCTCCAATACGACCTCATTTTTTACATGGAACATGTCTTAGATAAATATATCTGATTCGGCGATGTTACAAAGTACACGAATTTTGTACATGTTCAGTTATCCACTGGGACAGAACAATTCAAATAAAAACTAAGACTGAATGCCAGAAAATCGTCTCAAATGGGGGGAAACGTTGATGGCATAGATAAAACTTCCATACAAATACTTGATCACCATAGGAATCTTTGAGATGGAACAGAGACAAATATTGTTCTTGCAAAGACAACTAATCTGTAATGTTATGAAGTAATACTGAACGAAATTCCAATGAACTATTATGCATAAACGATGAGTCAATGCACCCAAAATGTCGGGACAGTTTTATTCCAGATGATTGGCATATGATATAAAAAATTGAAACTAAGGATGTAACTGCCATGTAGTAATTTATACCACATGCAAAAGGATCAAAATACACACGTGAATGTTTTGGAAATCACTAAAATGCAGAGAATAAATGAAATATAAATGTATATACTTGTAGAAAAAGAGTTATATTCCAACAAAATATAATTGTTGTAGGGCAGAAAAGAAGTTCATCCGTTGTGCTTCAATACTAGCTGTTGATTGAAGTAAAAATACCGCTTTCTTCAAATCGATCGTGATGTCGCTATACAGCCAAATATTGAAATTGGTTTTAGGAGATACAGTTTCTTCAACATAGCATTCAGCAACACACCAATCATAAAATGATCAGTTTCGCAATTTTGTTCCTTCTTATATCCTTATATTTATTTTTAAAATTAAAATTATTATTATACTTATTCTAAACACAGCAGTTCATATAAAGCAACCTTGCCGAAGCAGCAAGCTGGCGGTGTTTACAAGCGGAATTTGTAATCTCTCACTAATATAAAAGCTATGCTCGGAAAAGGTCTTTGTGCGCTGCAATATATTATCTTGACACCAGTATACAGTACGCAAATGAATGTAACCTTTGAACAATTCAAAAGTTCCGCGGCAGGTGAAAGCCTCCTTGAAAAGCAGTCCTTGACAAGGTGAAAATGAACAAAATGAACAAAGCATGAACTCAGTTGTGACGGACAACACATCATTATCCAGTCATCAGTACTGCAGGCGCTGGTGCGTGTCTTCTTGAAATGTAAAGTGTCTTTTCAACTAGAAAGTCCTAGCTCGTGATTGCCCTATAGGTAAAGCATATTATTTACAGTTTCCATATGATAAGGATATTTAAGCCAAGAACGGACCCCAAAACAACTTTGCCGGGGTGTCTGCAGTGAAGCAGAAGAATCCAACACCGGCATTTGCGAACTCTTATTTGCTGATCTGACCATCACCAGCTATGTCTAATGCTTCAAACGACGGAGGAACGGATAACGGGTGTACGCCAAAAATGCCCAGGAACTCCTCATATTCCTTTTTGGTCACATAACCGTGGCCATTTTTGTCTGCGACTGAGTCAAAATAGACATAGAACCACTTTCTCTGCTCTTCTTGGAAAGCTGGTTCCCGAAAGGTGCGTGCGTGGTTGTAGACACAGTCCCAAAAAGTAACGTTCTCTTTCTTCTTCGGACCGGCCCAGAAATAATCCCAGCCGTTGTTCATTAGATCCATGAACGTTTCCATTTGTTCTTGTTTGAGAAGATACTTAGCTCTGGACTCGCAATAATCTACCAAATCCTCCTTTTTGACAACGCCGTCCAAATCGTGGTCGAACATGACAAAAACTTGTATTGCAGACAAGACGGTTCGTTGAAAATTAAATCTGAATAGACGTTTTAACTTTGGTACCTTGTGGTTTTAATGATGATAATGTCAGCAAAAGAGTAACACACTTAACGTCATAGTGTCCTTTCATTTCCGCATGGCTGCGTCAGACAACTTTCAACGGTGTTATGCATGCAAAGCAGTACAGTCCAAAATACCTGTAACTAGACGCATGATCTGATGAATACGTGATGCGCTTAAGACACTAGTAAGACTGAGTTGCAGCCTAGCGTGTCCCTTTTAAATCCCAGGTCATTTATAGTAACAAGCTAAGAAACATAAAATGGCACCCAAATTCTCTCTGCGCCAAATTCTCTCCCCCTTAAGCTGCAAAGAATGAATAACTAATTGGGCTTTCCTTAACAGAAACAATTGAACGTGTTTTAATGTCATAAACAAGCAAGATACTAAAATTTCTTTAAGTAAATCTCAGAACATTTAAGGACACTACTGGAAGTTCTATACATGTTAGACCAATTTGTCACATAGAACAGGTCAGAGATAAACGGTCAAATTTCTCTGGCTTGGTGTGACAGGAATAGTAGTCCGCTGGGAACCGTAGTCCGTTCCCTATCTCATTGTACGTGTGGCATTCTGACGCCAATACTGCACAGCACTGGTACCACAGGATTCTTGAATTCTAAAGCGTCTTTCAACAAGCAAGTCCTAGATCGTGATTGTCACACAATTCAGCATGTTATTTACAGTTTCCATATGATTGGGGGATTTAAGCCAAGAGGACACAGATGAAAATCCCATTTAAATACTTAATCACCATAGGAATCTTTCACTTTCACATGCAAAAGAGGAAAATATTGTTCTTGGGAGAGACAAGTCATGGTATGAAGTAATATTGAGCTAAATTTCATTGAATTATAATGCATAAAGGATGAGTCAATGCAACCAAAATGTGAGGACGATTTTATTCCACATGATTGCCATGATATTATAAAGAATGAAACTAAGGATGTGACTGTAAGTAAAAAATACCGCTTTCTTCAAATCGATCTTGATAACTCTATAAAGCCGAATATGAAAACTTTTTTTTTTTTTTTGAAGCATACAGTTTCTTCTACACACTAGTCATAAAATGATCAGTTTCACAATATTTTCCTTCTTATTTCCTAATATTAATTTAATTATTATACTTTTTCTGAACACAGCGAGCATGGTTGTAGATATAATCCCTAAGTGTAACATTCTCTATCTTCTCCGCACCGGCCCAGAAATAATCCCAAGCGTTTTTAATTTGGTCCTTAAACGTTTGCAGTTGTTCTTGTTTGAGAAGACACTTTGCTCTAGCGATGCAAAAATCCACAAAATCTTTCCTTTTGACAACGCCGTCCAAGTCGTGGTCGAACATCACAAAAACTGAGCGAATTTTACGGACCCAAAACTCAGGATATGGCGCCCTGGCTGGCATTACATATGTCGCCCGTATACTGCAGACAAGACGGTTCGTTGAAAATCCAAATGGACATTTAAATCTAGGTACCTTGTGATTTTAATGATAACAATGTCAACAGAAGAATAATACACTGAACGTCCTAATGTCATTTCATTAACGCACGGCTGCCTCAGACAACCTTCAACGGTGCTATGCATGTCAAGCGGCACAGTGCAATATACCTGTAACAAGACGTATTATCCGGTGAATATGTGATGCGCTACAGAAGCTGGTGAGAGAGAGTTACAGCTTAACATCTACATTTTATATCCGAGGTCATTCATTTTAACTAAAACATAAGATGACACCCCCTTTTTGCTGAGCCATTTTTAAAAATATCTAGCTCCTTTTCCCATCCTCCCCTCCCCCTAAACCTCAAAAGAATGTATAACAAATTGGATCCTTCTTAACAGAAACAATTAAACGCATTTTAATGTCATGAGCCAAAGGCCAAAAAATCCAATTTGGCTGCACCCCCCGTCAGGCAAAGGTTTTATGATTGATTCTTGTAGTTTAGAACCTGAATTTTTCATTTCTGCTTGTTTCCGGCTTGAAAAAGTGTCCGTTTGTACCGGAAACAGGCCAAATCCAAGATGGCCGCCAATAAATTCATGTGTCAACTGTAAATACAAAAATTGATTTAAAAGTTACTGCACAACTTAATATCACCAAAATTTGCACTGATCACAAGTACTTAGACCTTCTTTGAATTTTCAGGCACTTTACATTTTTCAAGATGGCGACTGAATCCAAGATGGCGGCCATTTTCCTTACTTTTTGTGAAAAAATACAAATTCCTAAATTTGAAGTTTTTTTTATTAACCAAAAATTAGGAATATTTTACATGTTTTGGTGTATTTGAATAAGTTGAAGTCTATATTTTTAATTTTTACCAGTTAATTTATCACAAAATTGTACATTTGAACACAGATGGCTCTAATCCAAGATGGCCACCACATAAAATGGGCTTTTTGTTTAGATATGTTAACAAGCCTTTCTTAGTATAAAACATCTCAGACTACTCAATGGAGGATTTATTTCAAAGGTCATGGTATGAAATATATGACTGAATAATTTAAATTGTTTTGAAATTTTGTTCTGGGTATAAAAAATCCAAAATGGCCACCAATTTCTGGATTCAAAACGTACATAATTTTGATTTGCATGTTGAAAAACATCAAATTGAATAATAAGCAAATTAAAAATATTTATTTTTTGGTAAATTTATCTGTATTGCAATGTCATGTTGCTTCTTAGACACTTTATTCTACCAGAAAGTGGTTATTTTTGCTTTTTTATCATGATTCCAAGTTGACCATTGATAAAAATGAACTGCACGCTACCTGTATGGACAATACCACATGTTGTGAGCCTTACTTAATAGGCTATTTCTGAGCTTTATTGTTCAAGTTATGGAATGGAATACATAACTGAATGATTCAAAATGGTTTTAGGCTTACAGTTTAGGGTTGAAAAGTCCAAAATGGCCGTCAATTTCTGGATTCAAAACAAACAACATTTTGATTTGCATGTTGAAAAGTATCAAATTGAATTATAGGCAAATCATAAAAGTATATTTTTTGATAAACTGCAGTGTTCTTTTACTGTTTAGAATCTAATTTTTCCAAAAAGTAATTATCTAAGCTCCAATCATCAAAAATATCCAAGATGGCCACCAACAAAAATGAATTTTTAGGTAAACGTGGATGAAAACACACTGTTGAGTCGTAATTTTATACATATATATGCTTTGCCATTTTCTTGAATAGAAATTTATGCATAACACACAAGGGACAGCAATTTTTTCAGCAGCAGCTATATAGGTTAATAAAATGACATTTTTCAATATTGCAGACAAAATGCATGCCCAAAACGCCCTAACAAGAGTGACGTACATCATTTACAAGTTAAGGATCAATAGTTTGTTATATGGGGTGTGGGCTGTAAAATTTAATTTTCATATGATAGCACTTCTATTGTTACATTTCAAATGGACTTGGGTTACTGGTACATTGCTTGTTGAAAGTTCCCTGTCAAGCTTGACAGAAGAGCCAGAATCTACCATTAGTAGTGATAAGATTTCTCACATTCTGCTAGGTGTTAATCGTAAAGAAGAATCAGAATTATCCTAACCTCAAGCAACCAAGAGGTGAATATCTTTAATTTATCTAAAAAAAAGGGATGGATAACATGCAGCTGTAGCATTATTCTACATGTTTAAATCCGGGAAGCAATCACTATCATAAACTAAGACCAGCAAAGAAGTTGCAAGAAAATGTCTGGATCTCCAAGAACGTCTTTTGTCTCTTTAGAGAACAGTGCTGGATAATAATACATTCAGGGAACTCATGAAGTGGTGCTGCAGAGTGAAGTACATTGATGGTGAATGATGGAAGAGTTTAAGCACAACATGACAAATGATGTTTATGATACAATGTATATATAGGTGCAAATAATTATTGCACTTCACGGATAGGTACTGCTCAATATGTTCCGTGAATTCTTTTAAAATCCAACATTGTTCTGTTGAGAGGAAAAATATTTGGAGATCCAAACATTGGAGAAACACAGACTAAAACAAACTTTCTTAATAACCTTATTAACAAATAGATCACCACCAAAATATACTTACTTTTAGCCTAAAAATGACCTATCCTAAACACTTCATTTAAGTCTATCCTGAAATTTAGGCTGGTAAAAATCTGAGAAACCATAACAAATGGACAAACGAAGGTGAAAATGTGACCTTCTCGGAAGAGGTAATAAAGCATGCATACTAGGCTCCTGCATACATTTGTGTATATGGATCAGAGACCTGAACACAGGGCAAGAGGCTCACTCTCTTTAAACAAAGGTGTTTGCACACAAATTTTGGCATCATCAGGCAAGCAAGAGTAACTATTACAGAAGTTTTAATCAGGCATTTCTGTGCTAAAGAAGACTAAGTTGACTTGGACATGTGAACTAGGTGAATGTTGCATAGCAAAATCCCAAAACAGCTGTCACCTGTACTATTTGACCAATTGGTTTCGGGTAGCAATCTCAGAGGAAGACTATGATTGAGACTTAAGGACTGACACTTGCAAAAGCAGCCTGTTGAATTCCACACAGTGACACTGGCAAAGGAGTAAACATAAAAGCAAAGTAGAATAAATCTAATTCAGTCTCTCAAAGAAAGACTAAAAGAAGTCAAAAACTCGCTACAGCAAAATGAATAGACTTTGAAGCGAAATCACCATGAAATACTGACATAAACCCTGTAACACCTCCCTTGCTTGTAGATTCTAAAACAGCACTTGCTTATAAAACATGGAAAAGATGAGCCATGAGGGAATCCGAAGTTAAAAGACTATGGATACCAAATTGAGATGTTCATTGCTCCATAAGACTCTTTACTTGAGTGGTGACCATATTGAATATTGTAGACATGAAACTGGTTTAAAATATCAAAAAAAAAAAAAAAATTAAACTTCTTAATAAAGGCTTAGCTGTTTAACATGATGTATTCAAGAAATATTTGATGTAATGATTGTCCCAGCCACATTAATTGAAAATCATTTGCAGTGGCAGCCCATCTTGACTTTATTGATGTTTTTGGCCATGACTTACTGGCAAAAGGAGACTGAAATTCAATCAAATTAATTAAATGTAAAACTTTTTAGAATTATCATTTGATTTTGATTATTTTTACTTTTTTATTTACATGAATGGCTTATGGTAAGAATTCACAGTTACTAGTAGACTTAGTATGGTTGCCATCTTGGATATCCTGTCGTATTTGAACCATTTGAAATAATTTAAATAGAGAGAGCTTGAAAATCATACCAAAATAGGGAAAAGGAGTCTGCAATATAAACAATTTTATTAAAAACATGTACATTATCCTTTTTATATTCATTTTCAATGAAGTTTAATTTTTTCTCATTACGTACAGAAAATTATGGGTAAAAAATCAGAAGGAATCAGCTTTGTTCAATTCTGTAGCCTTCCAAACGTTTGAACTGCATTAAACAATACTGTAGATAAAATATTGCATAAAAAGACATTCAATTTGGAATCTAGAAGACATAAAGCTTTCATTCATAATCAACTCACTATAAAGTGGAATTCTTTTTCATTGGTAGCCATCATTGATTTATGGCAATCAAGTAAAATATGATGAATTTAAGGAAATATGAATGATCAAAGTAGCAAGAAAGGCCTGGATGTTAAGGGTTACATTAAAGATATACGTGACAGTGGTTTTAAAATAATGTTTCTTTAATTTCTCTCTCTATATATATTTTATTAGTAATGAATCAGATAAATAAGCATATTTAATGTATGCAATGGCAGCCATCTTGAATATTAATTGCAATGGAAAAATCTGAGAAAGTTTCTTTGATATAATTCAAAGAAAAAGTTATTTAATGATAAAAAGTAATACAATAAGTTCAAAAAAGTACAGAAATACTGTGTATGCAGTTTAGTAAGGCTCTCAACATGGTATTGTTCACACAGGTAGTTGCAGTTCATTTTTAACAATGGCCGTCTTGGAATCATAATAAATGAAACTAAAATAACACTTTTTAGAAAAATTAAGGACATTGCAATACAGATAAATTTACCAAAAATATGTGTATTTATGATTTGCTTATCATTCAATTTGATGTTTTTCAACATGCAAATCAAAATGTTGTATGTCTTGAATCCAGAAATTGGCGGCCATTTTGAATTTTTAAACCCTAAACAAAATCTCAAAGCAATTTAAATTATTTGGTCATATATCTAAGTCCATAACTTGAGCAATGATGCACAGGTATATGAATTTAGTAAGGCTCACAACATGTGGTATTGTCCATACGGGTAGCGTGCAGTTAATTTTTATCAATGTCCAACTTGGAATCATGATAAATAAAAAAAAAATAACCACTTTTTGGTAGAATAAAGTGTCTAAAAAGCAAAATGAGATTGCAATAAAGATAAATTTATCAAAAAATAAATATTTTTAATTTGCTTATAATTCAATTTGATGTTTTTCAACATGCAAATCAAAATAATGTATGTTTTGGATCCAGAAATTGGCAGCCATTTTGGATTTTTATACCCTAAACAAAATCTCAAAACAATTTAAATTATTCAGTCATACATTTCATACCATAACCTGTGCAATAAATCCTCCATTAAGTAGTCTGAGATGTTTTATACTAAGAAAGGCTTGTTAACATATCAAAACAAAAAGCCCATTTTATGTGGTGGCCATCTTGGATTAGAGCCATCTGTGTTCAAATGTACAATTTTGTGATAAATTAACTGGTAAAAATTAAAAATATAGACTTCAACTTATTCAAATACACCAAAACATGTAAAATATTCCTAATTTTTGGTTAATAAAAAAAACTTCAAATTTAGGAATTTGTATTTTTTCACAAAAAGTAAGGAAAATGGCCGCCATCTTGGATTCAGTCGCCATCTTGAAAAATGTAAAGTGCCTGAAAATTCAAAGAAGGTCTAAGTACTTGTGATCAGTGCAAATTTTGGTGATATTAAGTTGTGCAGTAACTTTTAAATCAATTTTTGTATTTACAGTTGACACATGAATTTATTGGCGGCCATCTTGGATTTGGCCTGTTTCCGGTACAAACGGACACTTTTTTAAGCCGGAAACAAGCAGAAATGAAAAATTCAGGTGCTAAACTACAAGAATCAATCATAAAACCTTTGCCTGACGGGGGGTGCAGCCAAAACCTTAAATAAGGCCTTTTTTCAATTTGGCTCATGGACGGTACTGAAATGTAAGTAAATTTCAGAACATTTTAAAGACAAAACTTGAAGTTCTTCACGTCCAATTTTGTTACACACAACAGGTCTGAGATAAACTGTCAAATCTCTCTGGTCCGGAGTGACAAGAATGGTAGTCCGCTAGGAACCGTAATCCGTTTCCCATCACTTTATACGTGTGGCATTCTAACCCCAATACTGCACACAACAAGCACCACAGTGTTCTTGAAAAGTAAACTCATATTTAACATGACAGTTCTAGATAGCGATTACCATGCAGGTAAAGCATATTATTGACGGTTTCCACATGATCAGGGGATTTAAGCCAAGAACGGACCAAAAAACAACTTTGCTGGGGTGTCTGCAGTGCAGCTGAAGAAACCAACGGCAGCATTTACGAACTCTTCTTTGCTGATCTGACCATCACCATCTGTGTCCAAGGCCTCAAACGATGGAGGGACAGACAGAGGGTGTACGCCAAAAAGGCCCAGGAACTCTTCATATTCCTTTCTGGTAATATAACCGTGGCCACTTTTGTCTGCGACTGTGTCGAAATAGACATATAACCATTTTCTCTGCTCTTCTTGAAAAGTTGGTTCGCGAAAAGTGCGCGCGTGGTTGTAGATATAGTCCCTAAGAGTTACGTTCACTCTCTTCTCCGGCCCGGCCCAGAAATAATCCCAAGCGTTGTTGATTTGGTCCTTAAACGTGTCAATTTGTTCTTGTTTGAGGAGACACTTAGCTCTAGCGATGCAAAAGTCCACAAAATCATTCTTTTTGACAACGCCGTCCAAGTCGTGGTCGAACATTACAAAAACTGAGCGCATTTTGCGGACCCAGAACTCGGGATATGGCGCGCTTGCTGACATTGTAGAATTATCTTTTATACTGACTTAGACGGATCATTGTTGAATTTAAAAAGGCATCTTTACCTTGGTACCTTGTGATTATTACAATAAAAACATCAACAAAAGAGTAACACTGAACGTCTTTGTGTTATTTTGTTTACGCACGGCTTCCTCAGACAACTTTCAAAGCGCTATACATGCAAAGCGTCACAGTACAATGGTAGGCCGTAACGTAACCTGTAACAAGACGTATGATCCGAAGAAGACATGATGTAACCTAAATAACACAACACTTGTTAAAAAGCCTGGTGGGAATGAGGTACACACACACACACACTGCACATTTGCAAAGTGTATACATGAAAAAATAACGGAGTATTCCGGGAAGTAAACAAGTCATCGCATTTTAATGTTATAATCGACTAATATACCGCCACCGAATATCTCAGAACAACACTGGAGTTCCAATACGACCTCATGTCTGAAATAAATAGATCTGATTCGGCGATGTTACAAAGTACACGCATTTTGTTCATGTTCAGTTATCCACTGGGACAGAACCATTCAAATAATATACTAAGATAAAATGCCGGGAAATCGTCCCAAGTGGGGGGGGGGGGGACGTTGATGACATAGATAACACTTCCATACAAATATTTGATCACCATAGGAATCTTTCAGATGAAAAAGAGAAAAAAATTGTTCTTGGCAGAGACAACTAATGTTATGAAGTAATATTAAGTAAATTTTCATGACTTAGTATGCATAAAGAATGAGTCATTGTACCCAAAATGTCGGGACAGTTTTATTCCAGATGATTGCCATGATATTATAAAGAATGAAATTAAGGATGTTACTGCCATGTAGTAATTTATAACATATGTGAAAGCATGTTATCTCTGCATCTAAATGTTTTGTAAATCACTAAAATGCAGTAGTTGAGAAAAAATGCAATAACAGTATCAATAAAAGAGTAACACACTGAACGTCTTTATGCTTTCTCTTTACGCACGATTCCCTCAGGTAATTTTCAACGGCGCGACGCATGCAAAGCGACACAATTGGTTGGTATTTACGTTATGTACACCTGCAACAAGATGTATGATGGGTACGTGATGGCATGACTCGCGCTAAATGGCATGGTAAAAATTAGGCGCAGCTGAGCATCTCATTTTTATCTTCAAGATCAGTGAAGATCACAAGGAAAGTTTTCTTAATACTTACCCCCTCCACTATGTGCAAAGTGTATGTTTGAGAACAGCTAAGGTATTCTGGGAACGAAACAATCAATAAAAACAACNTTAGGCCCATCTGTGTTCAAATATACAATTTTATGATAATTTAACTGGTAAAAATTAAAAATATAGACTTCAACTACATTAAAACACGTAAAATATTCCTAATTTTTGGTTAATAAAAAAAATTCAAATTTAGGTATTTGTATTTTTTTCACAAAAAGTAAGGAAAATGGCCGCCATCTTGGATTCAGTCGCCATCTTGAAAAATGTAAAATGCCTGAAAAATCAAAAAAGGCCTAAGTACTTGTGATCATTGCATATTTTGATAAGATTTAGTTGTTAAGTAACTTTTAAATCAATTTTTGTATTTACAGTTGACACATGGATTTATTGGCGGCCATCTTTGATTTTGCTTGTTTCCGGTACACTTTTTCTAGCCGGAAACAAGCAGAAATGAAAAATTCAGGTTCTAAACTACAAGAATCAATTATAAAACCTTTGCGTGACGGGGGGTGCAGCCAAATCCTTAAATAAGGCCTTTTTTTATTTTGGCTCATGGACTATAAAAGAGTGACCAAAACCATCCAGATAGTTTTACAATAAGAAGAAACAGATGGTACGAAAATGCAGACGCTCCAATTCAAGCTAAATATAAGAATATTCAGTATTTAATGTTTATCTCATGCAATGGCCACCTCCCCCTCCCCCCCCCCCCCCCCCCGAAAAAAAAAGGAAGAATCAGAACAGAATGAATTTTGCAGTACTCCTAGGGTGTGTTATTTGCTCCGTAAATGATGATTTAGGTGCAGTCATTGAGAGATCTTCGGAGGTTTTTATATTCGGGCTTGTGCAAGCAATCTTGTACTGAAATTTATTATTAACTTATCTTCCCAATCAATAAATATGTTAGTTTATGTAGAACAAGAACATAAATTCCAACATGGGAGGGAGCTAAACAATTTGTTAAATACTACAGAAATATTATTTTATGCTCTTTATAAATGTTAACCAAAAAACAATGTCTCTAAAAATGAGAAATTATTAATCGTTTTTTACAATTAAATTGACGAGCAAGGATGTACTTCTTCATATTCCAACTGTAAAGTTAAACACATAAATTATCAACCTCTTTTCTACATGCACTAGTGTAATTTTATATATACAGTATTTATACTGAGAGAGAATGTACAAGTATTTGCGTGTGCGCGTGTGTGTAAGTGCGATTCATAGAAAAGTAGAAAATCACTCCGAGAGCGCAGTCTAAGGTTTAATATTTTTACTAAGATGTGAAAATCTGTAATTATTGCAATTTCTGGCTACGGGGGAGCTTTTCAAAGACCTTTGTCCCATAAATAAGAAGTTAGAAAACAGCATAGATGTTTTTTATGCACTGCTATTAAGAAGACTATTGGGTATCAGCTGGAAAGTTTACTACCCAACAGAGACAGAGACCAAACGTAACTTACTCTAACACTATCATGAATGATGCTGGGCTACAAACAAGTGAAATTCATGCAATAATGAGACGGAAACAACTGTGGTCTGAACATATTGCTCTCATTTTGCCCAAAGACGAAGGAGGAGGAGGAGGATAATGATGATCCCAACGTCTTAGGATATACAGTATGAGGCGGTCTTCTGGGTCTTCCGCTAGACGGTCAAATTTCTAAGTTTACATTGATGAGTACCTATTTTTTCTGTCAAAAGACAGCAAAAAACTGGAGGATGGTCAAAAAAACAATGTGGGAGACTGTCAGAAAATATCTCTGGATTCGCCCCTGATATCAGTTAGAAGACAAAAATGCACGGTACACCTTTATTAAGCAAAAATAAGTGTGAAATTCAACAAGTTGCCCTTTTTTGCCAAAGTGTACCTGCAGCCGAATACTGTTGGAATAATTTTAATCTATAAATCATTTTCAAAGGGAGAGGAAGGGGAATGGAGAAGTGGATGCCTCAGAAGCCGAGAGGGAGGGACGCGTACCCGCTCTCCATGCGACGCGCACATTAGCACCTATTGCTTTTCTGTCCTTTTCACATGCACTAGGAAATCATACATTCATACGCGTTCGGCTTAGCGTAACGTTATATGTATAGAGGGGCATAATCTAGGCTGAGGTTTACCTGTAGAAGTCAACTGGAACCCAACCCTATTTCACAGGGGGAATGTCATTTTACAGTACACGGGACATGACATGCGACATGGAAAACTAAAATGAAACCACAGTGTAATCTTCTGTGTCATTATAATTTACCTTAATGCACATGAGACGTGAATATAGATATTTATTTTCTCAGCGACGGAGAGTCAGCTGCATAATACTCTTTAAGCACGTTTGCGTTAAGATTAATAAGAGTATAAACCAGGGAAAGTAGAGAGGTCATGACCTCTGTTGTTTTCCTTTTCAAAACTCTATGACGAGAGTTTGGTATACATATCATTACATGTACGATGTATACTCGATCTTCCACGACAGGTGATCGCACAAAGGCAGACAAGCGGCCCTAAACTTTTCCCGACTGGAAACAATGGCCCGTATTCCAGAATCTCCCTTTAGCGTTAAGGGAGACTTAAAGTCGACCTTATACAACATTTGTATTCCAAGACCTTTCTTTATCTCACTTGAAAGGAATCACTTAACAATCATCCGTAGCAAAGGAATCGGTCATTTCTAGAATCTGCTTTTGCTTAAAGATTTCCTTTATTTTCGGCTGAGGATTCCTTAAAATGTAAGGTTGGTCTGGAGTAACTTTTAGTCCTCCTTAAGCAGCCATCGTGTACATTTCTCTTGTGAAAATCAGCTCCATGGAGGACTATGTAAACCAACATGCCTATCTAAATTCAAAATAATTAAATTAAACTAGAAAAGCACTCCGAGAGCAAAGTCTCCACCTAATTTTCATTCTATAATGATTAAGTTTTTTTGATTTTTGATTATTGATTGATTATTGATCCAGATCACCACCAAAAAAGAATCATCTGTTCCTTGGCCCACTTGTGACAGTTTCTGAAAATTTCACCACAATCAGCGCATAACTTTTTGAGTTATTTGTGATGATTGATCATTGATTGATTATTGATCTTGATCATCACCAAAAACTAACCACTTCTAAGTTAACCCATTTCTGACCTTCCCTGTAAATTTCATAAAAATCGGTCCATAACTTTTTGAGTTTTTTTATTAATGATAATTGATTGATTATTGATCTTGATCACCACCAAAATCTAACCACTTTTAAGTTAACCCATTTCTGACCTACCCTGAACACTTCATAAAAATCGGCCCGTGACTTTTTGAGTTATGTTGATGACAAACAAACAGACAGACAGACAGACAGACAGAGAGGCAGACAGACAAACAAACGGATGAAAACATAACCTCCTTGGTGGAGGTAACAAAAAGACAGACAAACTAACAGGGGTGAAAACAACCTCCTTAGTAATACATTTGATCGAGGATAAGCTGTTGACTAGTTGCATCAGTAGCTGCTATCAGAAAAGGGTCCACGACTTTGGTTTTCTCATCCTCCAAACCATTCTTTTCTTTTCTTGCCATTGCTTTATTCACTAAATTTGGCTTAGATCAAAACATCCACATGCAGTGATAATGTCCATATGCACTGAAGTTGATCGGTTGACCCTAATTATACAATATTACTGAGGCATTTTTAATGAGGAGGGTGTCACAAAGGCCTACTCTAACCAATAAGGAGCTCCTTTATGTCAGTTTCCCCTACCTAAAGGCCGACTTTTGTCAAAGTAATTCCTTATCAAAGGAGAGGCTAAAGTGTG